GCTGTAGTCTTTGATCTTCATCAGTAACTATTTCAAGTTCTCTTTGCTTCCAGCAAGCAAGGATGTGTCATTTACACATCGGAGGTTGTTAATGAGTCTTCCTCCAATGCCACATTCTTCTTCATATAATCCAATTTCTCAGATTATTTACTCAGCATACAAGTTTAATAAGTATGCTTATTAAAGGATACAACCCAAGCACACACCTCTCCTGATTTTATACTATTCAGTGTTCCCTCATTCTGTTCTAATGACTGCCTCTTGGTTTATGTACAAATTCCTAATATGCATATTTAACTCACCACCATGTTTTGAAGTGACCATATTTTCCTCATTGCACTGTAGCATGAACTTTGCCATCAATCAGGTGTTTGCATATGTATAGATATGTTTTTAAACTTCCTATTTCTATCCTATAAGTCAGTTTCTCTACTGTTGTAACAATACCACGTGATTTTACTTAATAATGATGGAGTTCCTGCATCATTAGTGTGCTCACTGCTAACCAAAGGGTTGGTGGTTCAAGTCTACCCAGAGGCACACTGGAAGAAAGGCCCAGTGACCTACTTCCAAAAAGTTAGCCACTGAAGACGCTATGGAGCACAATTCTACTCTGACACACCTGGGAGTATCATGAGTCGGAATTGACTCAACAGCTACGGGTTTGATAGCCTAAATCTTCCAAATTTGTTCTTCTTCAATTTGCATGCACTATTTTTGACCCTTTGTCTTTATGAATTTATATGATCAGCTTGTCAGTTTCCATATGAACACAAACTTATTAGATTTCAATTGGGATTGTGTTGGAAGTATATATTAATTTGGGAAGAATTTACATCTTTATATAATTGAATTTTCAAATCCCTGAACATGCTACATCCTTCCATTTATTAAAATCTTCTTTTAACTTTTTCAGCAATATTAACTTTTTCTGTTAGAAATCTTTCATTGCTCCATAGTTTTTCATTTTCAATTATACTTTTAAGACATCTGGTGCCATTCTAGTTTCCTATCCTTCAGATATGACTTTTTCTCTTTCTTTCTCTAAAAGCTTTTAGAATCCTTCTGTAGCCCCAATTCTAATTCTTTTGTGGACAGATGTATTGTTTTCATCTGAAAACTCATTTCCTTTTGTTCAAGAAAGCCAACTTTTTTTTTTTTTTTGGTTGTTCTAGTTCTTTTAAAATAATTTCTTCCTCTTCATTTTCCTTGTGTTCTTTGTTTCATCTGTAGTTCTTGTTTCTGTTTGTTTGGTTTGGGTCTGTCTTTCATGTTGAAGATTTTCCTAAACTATCCGATGATCCTTCACTGCCTATTCATATTTAAGAAGAATCTGACCAGATGATCTCTGGGTATGGAGTTTATTATCTGTTGCTAGGCTTCACTGGAGGTGATCTAACAGTGAGATATTTTGGTTTGGAGGATTTACAAATATCAGAATCAATGAGTCTGTTCCCGAGTTCATTAAATTTCTTTCTGAAAGGGATCCTCCAATATTTAGGCTCAGCAATAGAAACTGGTCATCTTTGAACTGGGCTGAAAAGGGGAGAATAGTCATCTCTTCATTTAATATTCAGATTTAATCTTCCAGTTTTCAATTTGAGGTTTTTCTCCACCCTTCATAATGCAAAATACACACGTTTGAATTGATAGCAGTGAAATGGAAGAAGGAAGACAAATTGATTCTTTACAAAACTGTGTCAAAATAATTAAGTGGATGAAGGATAGTTTTTTTTCAAGAAATGATGCTAGAACAACTGGATAGAAAAAGGCACAAAAATTAACCTAACCTTCACATTTTATATAGAAAAATTAACTAAAGATGGATCATGGGTCTAAATGTAAATCATAAAACTATAATTATTTTAGAAAAGAACATAGGACCTTAAATAATCAACTATATGTGTCTAAATGATCACCAAAAATCCAGAAGCAAAGATTAGAAGGCAAAGAGGGAAAGGGAATCTAGGTTAATGGAAACAGAACAAAATAGAAATAATGAGAATGCTCCCACACAGTAAAAACTAGAAACAATTGCACAGAACAATTTAATAAAAATAGTTAAGGGGGAACCCAATATTTTTGTGGGAAAAAATACAGTAAAATATTATTTTTTGATAAACAACAGCATGGCCTACGGTTGGGTGAAGATTTCTTATAGAAACACCAAAAGCATGATCCATAAAAGAAAAAACAAATAGTAAGAAATAAATAATATATTTAGAAAATGGGCAAAAGACTTAACCTGATAATTTACCAAAGAAGATGTACAGATAAACAAAGTGTTTAACAACAGTTATCCCCACTGCCATCCAATCAGTTCCTAAACTCATTTTCAGAGTTTCCAAGATTATAAATCTTTACTGGAACAGAAAGTCTCATCTTCCTACAAGGAGCTGCTGGTGGGATCGAACTGCCAACATTGCAGTTACCAGTCCAGTGCTTATCCTATAGTGCCATCAGGACTCCTTTCATTAGCCCTTGTTGTTGTTAAGTGCCCTCGAGTCGATTCCGACTCATAGCGATCCTGTATATGGTTTCCAATGAGTGACTGATGAGTTTGAACCGCCAACCTTGCAATTCAAAATAACCTCATGATCCAGTGTTTATCCTACAGCACCATACCAGAAGTGCAAATTAAAACCATGATGCAATGTCACTACACTTGTGTTAGAATAGTTTAAATGAAAAACACTGATTATACCAAATACTGGTCAAAATACTGGTTTGAAGAAACTGGATCTCTCATTCATTGCTAGTGGGAATGTAAAATACTACAGTCATGCTGGAAAACAGTTTGGCAGTTTCTTAAAAAGTTAAGCATACACTTACCATGTGGCCCAACAATTGGACTCCTGGGCATATATCTTAGAGAAGTGAAAACTTAGGTTTGCACAAAAATCTGTACATGAAAATTCATAGTAGCTTTATTTGCAATAGTGCCAAAGTGGAAACAACCCAAGTGTCCTTCAACAGGTGAAAGGCTAAACATATTGCGAGACATCCATACAATGGAATGCTACTCAGCAGTCTAGAGGTTTGATGCATGCAACAATTGATCCACACAGCAAATGGACAGATTTCAAGATTCGGCATTTTGCTGAATGAAAATAGCTAATCTCAAAAGATTGCATTTGGATGACATTCTGAAAACGACAAAACTATAGAGATGGAGAACAGATGAGTGGTTGCCAGGGACTAAGAGAGGGACGATGGTGTGGCTTATAAAGGGGTTGTTGTTGTTAAAGTGCCATTGAGTGGCTACTGACTCATAGCGACCCTGTATAGGGTTTCCAAGGAGCAGCTGGGTTTTGAACCACTGACCTTTTGGTTAGTAGTCCATTGCTTATCCTACAGTGCATGAGGGAATTCTTTTGTGGTGCCAGAACAATTCTGTATCTTGAATGTGGTGATCCAAGGACTACAATGTCATATGACTACACACACACATGAAAAAAGAAAAGTATCAATTTCCTAGTTTTGATAACTTACTATGATTATGAGAATAGTCCCCATTGAGAGAAACTGAGTGAAGAGTATTTGGGAATCTCTGTACTGTTTTTGCAAATTCTTGTGAGTCTATATTGCAAAATGAAAAGTTAAAACAATTTTTTTTTCATTTTTCTTTGTTGCTTAGAGATAATTTTTGGAAGGAAAAACAAAAAATGACTCCACCGTCTTCAAAACCATTTACTTTTATTCTCAGACAATATAGCCCGTATCTATTAGCTTTTTAAAATTGAGCAATTTGTGAATATATTTCTGTTAATGATTAAATATAGAGTAGAAAGATTTTTAACTCTTTGGGCTATGTTTATTTTTATATAAAAGTCAAAAGTTACAAATAGGTACACAGAGCAAAATAAATCAACAGCTCCTTTCCCACAGGTAACCACTGTTACCAGTTGTGTATATTGAGTATCGTTTCTCAGTTATCCATATGTCATAATTCTTGTTACGAGTACTGTTACAGTACAGTAGGGAGTTTTTGTGGAGTCATTCATCACAGGGAGAGTAGTAACCTATCCATGAAGCGGTATCTCCTCTGTAGTACCTTGTAGTGGATTTGACATGATCATATGAATCGTCTTTCCCTTTTAAATACTAACATGCATAGAGACAAACTACATCTTACTATTTAATATGGATTTAGCTTCAACAGTCTTCCATGATTTTATATACACACGTTCCTCATGCATGAAACTCAGAGTTGGCTAGCTAATTGTTGCTCTGAGATTAACCCCCCTTGAAACATAGTTTTGCCAACTGTGTTTTAGATTTTTTATTACATTAACAAATAACAGTTATAAAATATTCAAACAACACAAATGAAGTATATAAAGTAGGTTATCTGTTTCCTTGGTAATAACCTTACCTCACTGCTGCTGAGACTTTGCAAGAGTATGTTTTGATTTTGATTGGCTGTCATCATATCATTTGGAGAAGAGTTTGTATCATGACAAATGTCAAGCAATGATTCAGCATGTCTTTCTGCCAAAAGAAACATAATAATGTGTTTTGCTATGATTTATCTCCAGCAATTTCACAAGATCTAATGAAATGCCTCTAAGTATTAAAACCAGTGCCATTTTGTCAAAGAAATAGTGGTCTGGGATGCAGAGAAGGGCAAAGGCAAGGGTCATAAAATATGTAGTTGGGGGAAACACCAAGCAGCAGACTTTGGTGGTAACTGCTATTATTAAAAGAGAAAATCAGGTATGGTAGAATTTTGAGCAAAAGAAACAAGTAGGGTGAAATCAATCAACATCTGAGTACATAAATGTCTCTGTGAGAAACAGAAGTTACTAAGAGTCTGATTTTGGTTTGACATTAGTCCAGTCACCTCATACTCAGTGTATACATCCTTCTTGCATCATCTTTTCATGGGTGCTGGGACATGACCAAGAAAATTTAATCGTTAAAGCACACAACAGCTAAGGCAGTCCTCCTATCTAAGGTCCACACATGGAACCAAGGATATCCATCCTTCAAGCTTTCTGGAACATGACCTCTCATCATGGACTTCCACTGGTAGAGGGGTAGAAGAAAAAGCTCTAGGTTTTTCTAACTAAGACCTACATGCTTATAGGATGTTCTGGCTAGAGGCTAGCATTGACTCAATTGCTATCGGAATTTCCTTCTCAGAGCCTCCATGCTACCCTGAAGCATCTATAGTTATTTCATAGGGAGTAAGAATGATCTCAAGAGTCATACAGACCACCCAATAATTTTAAAAAAAAAAATGTTTCAGATTACACAAACATTTTTTCCTTATGAATAGAAGAAGAGATATCATGAGTGATCAAAAGTTTAGCATTAACTGCTTTGTTTTAGGCAGCATTACTAAGTGAAAACCCCAATAATGAGCTGGAAACTACAATTGCTCCATCATTGTCAAGGGCAAAAGTACTCAGCTATTCTAGGCATACTTGCTTTCCTGTCTGGTACTTAAAGACACATGAAATGAACAGTATTCTGAACATCAAACAGTGACTCCCAGTTAGTTCCTAAGGAACATGGTTCTCATGCTTATCCCTCTTCTGTTATCCCAACTCCTTCAAATAAATATGGAATCTTCAAAGAAAACGCCCTCCTCTTTCGCTGGCTCTTCAATTTATCTTATAATGGAAACAAAACTGAATGCATGATCTAACTCAGAACATTCATCTCCTCACTATATTTTCCTTTCACCTCTGCCATCTATCTTCTGCCTCCTTCCTGCTGCTGAAACTTCTTAACATATCTGCTTTGTTCTCTCTTTTCTAATTCCATATTATATCACCCTTCCTTACTACAACTCTTCCCATATTCTGCTACTACTGTTCTCACTCTTGAATCCCTATGTTCACACCACTGTCTAACTATGACAACTCCTCAGCTCAGACCTCTATACTTTTCTTTCTATCATCAGTCCTTCAATAACCTTATCCACTCCGAAGTACTCACAAGCTCTGTAAACAGCTCCCAAATTAACATACCAGTTCATTTTCCCCTCAAGTCCAGTCCCACAGAAAATTACTACTTAAAGTCCCATTAAATTCAGTATTTTTAAACTCATAACTCTTCTATCCAATAGTCTTTCCAAACCAAAATTGTTGTTGTTAAGTGCTGTCAAGTCAATTCTGACTCATAGCAACACTGTATAGGGTTTCTGAGGAACAACTGGTGAGTTTGAACCTCTAACATTACGGTTCCAACCAACCTTGTGGTTGCATGCTTATCCTACAGCACCACACCAAAACTCCAAGTATTCCCCATTTTATTGGTTGTCATTTCTACTTCCCCATTTCTTAGGCCTGAAACTTTGAATAACCTTTAACTCAGGTCTCTCACCTTCTGTTTTTGTGAACCCTTTATCAAGTTTACATCATTAAGTTCTGAGACTTCTTTTTTCACTGTATCTCTCAGACTCACCGTACCCAACACCTCCCTCTCATGCCTAATACCACATGCCACCCAAAGATTCTTTTCCTGTATCCTGTCACTATGTGCATGGGCACACTTCTATGACTTCTTAAATTGCTATTTGTAAGGTTTTCACTGACCAGTTTTTTCAGAAGTAGATTGCCAAATCCTTCTTCCTCTTTGTTCTTAATTTGGAACCTCAGCTGAAACCTATCCAATATGGGAGCCCCTGCTGACATTTTCAACACTGGTGGCATAGCTTTTAGCATCACAGCAACACACACACCACCACAGCATGACAAACTAACTGATGAGTGACGGCAGACAGAGTTCAGTATGAATTATACCTCCACATTAAGGAAACCAATACTGGATAAATGTGCAACATCATGATAAACTAAGAAAAGATTGAAGTTGTCAATAATTTAATTTTACTTGGATCTACAATCAGTGCCCATGGAAGAAGCAGTCAAGAAATCAAGGAACATCTTGCATTAGGCAAATCTGCTGCAAAAGACATCTTTGCAGTTGTTGTTGTTAGGTGCCATCAACTCATTTCCAACTCATAGCAACCCTATGCACAACAAAACAAAACGCTGCCCAGTCCTGTGCCATCCTTACAGTTTGACTCATTGTTGCTGCCACTGGTCATTCCGTCTCATTGAGGGGCTGTCTCTTTTTCGCTGACCCTTCACCACTTAACCAAGCAGGATGTCCTACTTCTGATCCCTCCTGAAAACATATCTAAATAATGAGAGACAAAATCTCACCATCCTCGCTTTGATGGAGCATTCTGGCTGTACTTCTTCCAACACAGATTTATTGGTTCTTCTGGCAGTCTGTGGTACTTTCAATATTCTTCCTCAACACCATAATTTACATGTATCAATTTTTCTCTGGTCTTTCTCATTCAATACCAACTTCCACATGCATATGAAACAGTTGAAAATACAATGGCTTAGGTCAGGCACACCTAAATCCGGAAACTGACATCTTTGATCTTGAATACTTTAAAGAGATCTTTTGCACCAGATTTGCCTGATGCCATACATCATTTGATTTCATGGCTGCTGCTTCTATGAGTGTTGATTGTGGATCCAAGCAAAATGAAATCTGACAACTTCAATCTTTTCTCCATTTATCATGATGCTATTTACTGGTCCTTTTGTGAAGATTTTCATTTTCTTTACATTGAGGTGCAATCCATATTGAAAGCTGTAGTTGTTGGTCTTCATCAGTAAGCATTTCAAGTTCTCTTTACTTCTAGCAAGCAAGTTTGTGTCATCTGCATGTTGCAGGGTGTTAATGAATCTTCCTCCAATCCTGATGCTAAATTCTTCTTCATATAATCCAGATTCTCAGATTATTTGCTCAGCATATAGTTTGAGTAAGAATGGTGAAAGGATGCAACCCTGGCACACAATTTTCCTGATTTTAAATCACTCCTCAATGCTGTTCTAACAACAGCCTCTTGGTCTATGTACAGGTTTTTCATGAGCACAACCAAGTGCTCGGGAATACCTATTCTTCACAATGTTGTCCAGAATTTGCTATGATCCACACAGTCAAATGCCTTTGTATAGTCAATAAAACACAAGTCAATATCTTTCTGTTATTTTCTGCTTTTAGTCAAGATCCATCTGATGTCAGCAATGATATCCCTAGTTCCATGTTCTCTTCTGAATCTGGCTTGAATTTCTGGTAACTCCCTGTCAATGTATTGTTGCAATCATTTTTAAAACAACCTTTAGCAAAATTTTACTGGCATGTGATATTAATGATATTGTTTGATGATTTCCACATTTCACTGGGTCACCATTCTCAGAATAGGAAAAGTATGGATCTCTTCCAATGCGTTGACCTGGTAGCTGTCTTCCAGACTTCTTGGTATAGATGAGTGAACACCTCTAGTGCAGCATCAGTTTCTTGAAACGTTTCCATTTGTATTCCATCCATCTCTGGAGCCTTGTTCTTGACCAATGCTTTTAGTTCTTGATCATATGCTACCTCTTGAAATGGTTGCGTATCAACCAATTTTTCTTAGTACAGTGACTCTGTATTCCTTCCAACATCTTTTGATATTTCCTGCATCATTCAGTACTTTACCCTTGTTGTTGTTAAGTGTTGCTGAGTCAGTTTCTACTCACAGCGACTCTTTATAGGGTTTCTGAGAATGGCTGGTGGATTTGAACCACCAACTTTGTGGTTAGCATTCCAATGCTTACCCTATAGTGACACACCTGTGTATTCCATCTGGTGAGGTCCACATATCTATTGTCACCTTTTATGTTGTTGAAAAAAGGTATTTGCAATAAACAAGTCATTGGTCTTACGTAATTATATCATGTGACTCCAGCAACATTTCTATCACCAAGGCCATAGTTTCCAACTTTCACATTCCAATTACAAATGATTATTAATACATCTTGATTGAAAGTTTGGTCAATTTCAAATTGAAGTTGTTGTTAAGTGCCATCAAGTCAGTTCCAACTGATAGTCACTTTATATACTGTTTATGCAAGGCTATAATCTTTGTAGGAGCAGAAAGCCTCATCCTTTTCCCTCAGAGCAGCCAGAACCACCAACCTTGTGGTTCAAAGTCCAATGCAAGAAATTGGTAGAATTTTTCATTTTCGTCATAACTGGTTTAGAGGTTGGTGTGCAAATTTTAATAGTAGTTGCATTAACTGGTCTTCCTCATAGGTATATGGATATTATCCTATCATAGACAGCACTGTACTTCAAGATAGATTTTTAAATGCTCTTTTGACAATTAATGAGACACATTCTCTTTAATTTGTCATTCCTGGCATAGTAAACCATGTGACTGTCCAGTTAAAATAGCCAATACCAATCCATTTCAGATCACTAATGCCTAGGATATCAATTTTTATGCATTCCAACCAACTTACCTAGCTTCTTGCTTCATACATTCCACGTTCTAATTCTTAATGGGTGTTTGTAGCTGTTTCTTCTCATTTTGTATTCTGCCCCATTACCAAATGAAGGTCTTGAAAGCTTTGCCTCCTCCATGCCATTAAGGTCAACTTCGCTTTGGGGAGGTAGCTCTTCTCCAGTTGCACTGT